ATGTGTTTTTCGGTCATTATTTCAAATTTATGGAATAAATCGGATGCAAATGGATTCATTTGCATCAAGGATCGATCGAATTATGCCAACACTATCATAAATCTACGAAATAATCAACAGAAATTCGCCTGTCGATGATCTATCACTCTTGCTGAAACCAAAGCGCGCTCCCTGATAATAACATATTCATCATATTATTCCATTATTCTAAATGTGTACCGACTTACAGGCCATAAAAGCAAAGCACCTTCTTCATATGGCAAACACATGCGAATTGACCAAACTCATTGTCATTTATGACGTCACATGACCAAATACATACCATCGATCTTGTTACATAAGACATGCACGATACTCGAGAATTATTAGCATTCAGAGCGGGAGGCTTGCATGTATGCATCTGCTAATGCGGCTTATGTGCTTAACACGTGCATTATATTCTAATTAAGATGCCATGTTACACCGAATTTGCTTTCGAGGTTTGCACAATTCCAACTCTAGACAAGTATAAATGCTAGAGTTGTTTCAAACGTCTCCAATGAACAAGAAAAAAAACTCTTGAACAACCAACTAAACCACAAAATCAGAGGTACGACAAATCTAAAGTGACGTTTTAATAACCCTTATTAAAGTGATATTTAGTTGAAATTGGAGCAAATTTGCTCACGAGCAGATTCTTCCTGTGTCTTTTGTTCGAAAGAAGAATATATAAAGGGTGTGTGTCGTCCAATAATTGGCTGCAGCAAATCGAGGAAGCATCGAAGTAGGACTTTTGTTGAGTCGTCGGTTTTTATCGAGAGATGACACGAATCGTTCGGAATGAAGAATATTTCCTAGGGAAAAAGTCTCCGATGTCAGGAAAACTATAGCAAACTTTTTTTACTACACTTTGTAGCCTTTTCCATAACTGCAGACACATGTCTGGTGCGGCCAAGTTTACGATCGAAACATCAACATTAGAGAAAAGTTTGCCAGTAAAAAAAGATAATGTTTTCCAAGACGGATATTGGAATTTCGTGTTAAAATAAAATAAGATAAACAAGTCGCATAACGTCAGCTGAATTGCAACCGACACACCGATGATATTCCGAAAGCAATCGGGATGAAAAAAAGTTTTTGAGAACACAAACTGCAATCGCATACAGATCTCACTTCCAAATACCGTGGAGGATTTCCCTTGGGGTAGCGGCAGGTTAGCCTGAACGCCCTCTACCCGAGATTCATCCCGGCCGAACAATTCCTCTTGCACTGAAAAGGTTTGGTCGACTTCATTTTACCCCCCTTTAGTGCGGGATTATAACGACGTCATCATGGTAAATTACGTTTGGAAAAGTACGATTGGGAATTCGGAAAAACGGGTATTTTCCACATGAACAAAATTATTATCTTGTTTTTGGTTAAAAAGAATGAATTGTGCAAAAATACCGCCAATTTTCATTAAATCCACCAGCTACACGTATGTATTTATCCTTGAGGACAAATACAGACGAGATATCAGACGTGAATTATGTATTGACACAAATAAATTATTCTTGAATTTTTAATGCCATTTCCTTAGATCAATATTTCAACTTTAAAATTATAATCGTCAGAGTTCGACGACAAGCTTGCGTTCAATAGTTTATCACAGAATATTTTTAGATATCGACTAGCAATAAACCAATTTCAATTATTAACATGAGAGTTAGTCATTAACAACAAAAAAAGTTTTAGTTAGTGTAATAATAAATACTAAATGAGGAATATATGGCGCCCCAATCCAAAATTAAGACCCTGTCGCTCTCGCAGAAGTGTATAAATCCAGGTCATCCAAAGTTGTGACAGATCTAAGTGACAAAGGCGTCGGAAACGAAACACACCAACCGCAATCACATATATGATGTCAACAAAATACAATTTATGTATGATGCGTGTCGGTGTACCACCTTCCATGTCAGAAAAGTGCGCTTTTCCTCGCAACGCCGAGATAAATTGCCACCCCCGCGAAACCACTACACATTCATCAATCATCGACGAGGCTTCCTTCCACCTAAAGGACGCCTTCATTTTACAGTTTTCATTGAATTGCATCGAGAAAAATTAAAGTCAGCCGAAATTTGATGTCGCTAAACTGATTTTACAACAGTCGTTTATTTTTTTATCAATGCTTGATGGCCGACCCAAATGGCCGAATTATGCTACTGTATAGTGTTTTCAACCTCCACTCTGCCATATATTCGATGCGATAGCGGCAGTATTTTCCTTTATGTTCGTTACCGAAGCCCGAACTCTTGTATCGCTGATGCAGGGATTAATCACGAATGATGGAATTATACGTTTATTTATTCGGACGAGTGGATAGTGCACGACTAAATCTATGCGAAAATATAACCGATTGGTTCAATGGTGTTGCGAGGGTGTGTCGGAAACGACGTAAATCCAAATATTAACTGGACGCATGAGAGAGCCGAATTTTATAAAATAATAACCATCAATCATTTATCGACGCAACACAAAAACGCTGTATTTTCATTTAATTACACATAAACTAATGCAAAAATAATTCTACAAACGATTTTAAAGGTTCACAACCCACAGTTTCGATGTAATTTATTCAAAATGGTTTGTTCAAAGCCAAACGTGCAAAACAGATATAAAAGTAATTTCCCCTAAAAGACTAGTTCAAAAATAATGAAAGAAAACTAAACGATGCTTGGTAATCTGTTACAACTTTTATTATTATTCCCTGTTAACCAATAACTGCGATTAGATGAAATTGAATTTGTAATTTACGAGCATCCAATAAAAATAAAAACATCAGCTCGATTTGGCAACGTAAACCAATCAACCATAAAAATAATATCGAAAAATATTTAGGTCATATGACAATTATTTTTGACTTAACGTCCTATAAATATATCGAAACCAATATATTGATTTCCGCAAAACGATACTATTTATTTCGGTTAAAAACATCTTAAAGAAATGTTTCTTTTCGCGGTTTTGGCAGCTTTTGACTCTCATCCAGAATTTAAAATTATTTTCCAAGTGTTCAAATTTATTCAAGCATATCGGAGAAAAACATGACTCGTATGTCACGATCTTGTGTTAGGAGAATACGAGTATACTCTTAATTTCGAAACCATTAATAAAAATAATTATAATAATCTTATTCCAGAACACAAAATAAAAATAACATAAGTCTTACGAATTCTTTAACTGTATTAAATTTAAATAAAATAAAAATATATGATGCAAAATATTGACATGAAAAACAAAAAACAACTTACTTTTGGATCCTAATCTAATAATTAACAAATTAATTTTTTGTTTTATGATTTGCTTTGAGAGTCCCTTCTGCAAAAATCTATGCAATCCAAATTAATATTTAATGTGGCCATCATAAGTGATTTTTAAATTTTCCACTTTCAGAGTGTTCAAAGGGTCAAAAACAACGACCACATTTGAATTACGACATTTAATTAATATATGTACATACATCTAAGAAAACTTTTTAACTTGAAAGTCCTTAAGTCGGCACAAATCAGGACATAAATGTACAACAGGACAAAATAATAAGAACCTAAACATGTTTTGGCTAAATTAGGACCACTCCTGGTCCTTTCAAAGTACGTGTGGTAAAACAAATTTTGTTAAGTAATTTAACATTATTATTCTATTTTACGTAACTTTAAAGAATGTAGGTGTGTAAAATGCAGTGCAAATAATGGGATATCAGGAAATTATCTTAAAAAGGTTTTATAAATGCTGTTGGTTTCAAACAGAAAAAATCTAACTATATATACAGTATGGAACCAAGCGTTTTTTTTAAATCATTTGCCTCCAAAAAATAATAATTAATATAAATTAAAGTAAAATAAAAAATGTGATCGTATTTTGAGAATCAACTTTGTTTTGTTTTTGAGGTATGCGTTTTTTTGTCAAAATTGCAATTTATAAAAAAAAATTTATTGAAAAAGTTAAATATAAAGTATATGTGTAGTTGTAATCTTTAGATCATAACCTTCATGAGAAAAATGGTTTTATAATGGGTTAAAAAAATATTTTTTTTGTCGAAGTCGAAAATTTTATTCTTGTTAAAACATCACATTTTTATAATACCTATTAATTTTTTATTCAGCAATTAGATTAAAAAAAAATAAATAGTTTGAGGAAAAAACGTTTAGTTCCATACTTTTTATTCACCTAGTATGTATAATATATAGATATTAATATCATAATTCAAATATTCATTATACCTGTAATTTTAATAAGTTACTTGTTAAAGTAAAAGAAATAATCTCATTTTACATATTTATACAATTTTCTCTTTCCAACCTTTGTTTTAGAAGAATTTTAAAAGTCGTGATTTATTTTGCATATGTTTATTTAGTTAAATATGATCGTATTTTTTAATTCTAAACTCATTTCTGGATAATCCTTAAAGAGTTGTTTTATTTTTAAAATTCAAATAAATGACAATATAAGAACTTTGTTACTTTTAAAGTAAAAATGTAAAAAATTTTAAAGTAAAAATGAATTTCAAACGTAAATTTTTTCCTTTATAATAAACACAATGTTTGTTGTTGAACTACTGTCAAGAAGTTAAAATTTTCGTATAATTACACTACTCCAAATTGAAACTCTTGCTAATTGTTAAAATAAACTCTTAAGTTGTAATCGTAATTAGGACATAAAAACGGGCATCGACGTTTGTGGTATTAGGTATCCATTATCGATCGGTTTTCATGTTATTATCGGCGATAATTTTGTAATTGCATGTCAAATATCTAATATATAGCGGCAACATATCAAAGGATGGATAAATCACGTAGTAAATAATTGTGTAGGAAAAGCCGGCTAATAATAACTCCTGTAAAATTTACAGCTCCTATCGCCCTTAATTGCGTCGCTTTGTATGTAAGTAAGTAGCCACCAGTGCGTAATTTGATCCAAGTATTTTCGGGATTGTAAATTCATTCTTTGGCAGGTGTTTCGAAATGGTTTAGAAAATGACTTACCCGATTCGGAAATAGGTGATGGCGCCGATGAAAGTGATGCCGTAGAATGGTTACTTGAAACCGTTGATGATGAGCACTCCGACAAGGAGCGCCTTTTTGACAACGCATAATTTTGAGACAGCTGTTCCAGTCGTCGCCTAAGAAATCTCTGTTCGCGATTCAACTGTTCTTTGTGCGTTGTGTGTTTACGGTCTTTGTCTTCAAGATTCTGGAACAGAATGATAAAAAAGAATTGTTAAACGACACACTAAAACTTCGATATCATGCTCGAAATATCTGACGTAATTAAATTCGTCGAATTCTTCCCGAGGGCAACGGCGCGAGCTTTGTTTAACGAAAAAACTCGGAAAAGACGCCACCCTGAAAATAACTTTGGAGGTAATGCTCATTAAAATATTTGAGTCGTCAGAAAAAAGCTCAAAGACAGACTTCCTTCATCACAGGAAGATGACAGCTTCTTTTATCAGCATTTCGCCGTTTTAATCACTCATCTACGTATAATCCCTTTATTCTCGCAAACCTCTCTTTCTTTACTCGCCTTCTAATAAATCGCTAATTACATTTCCCGCATCTTTGGCACACCCCGAAATTTTAAGAAATATTCATTCCTAACTTCAAAGGTAGTGCACTCAAAAACACACGAGCTGTGAATAATCTAAATAATTAGAAGGCCACATTCGCGACTCCTGGCCCAAACCTGGTCCTGATCCCACATTAAAAAATCTTTACTCCAAAAACAAATGTTTAAATTAAATTCAAATAAGTAAGTAATGCAAGTTTGCTATACAGGTTGTTCGGTCCAAGTCGCCCCGGCTGATAACACCTAAACTTACTTCTTTTTTTCAAAAAGTAAATATTTAAGTAATAATATTCATTCTTGGCTTTCTTAATAAATGTATTAAATTTTTTTAGCACATCCGGTGTTGCCGGAAATGCTACCAAATTTAGTTTTTCAAATGTTCTCCAAACAATAATAATTGACATGAAAAATATTGTAAACCACTATTTATTACAATTTGCGTAACACAATGCAATCAAAAAACATCTTAAATCTTAGAATTTTATAAGGAAATTGGTCGCGTAGCCTGATTTTTAATTTTAAAGGAAAGGTGTGAATAAAAACAATGCTTGGATACTGTTTAATTGTTTAACAAATCTAATTTGTCAATTTGATGAGCGAGTTCTCTTATGGAAACTCTTGGATTTTCTACGACTGATAACAGAACATTCAGATTTCTATTTTCTTGTTCTTCACAAAGAACCACAGGTTTTTTAGTTTTAAGAAGCGAACCTATTCGTTTCAGTTGTTTTTCAATTCGACTAAATTTCCAACGATTTGGGTGAACTCTATTTGAGTATTTTTCTCTATACTGTCTTTCAGCTTCCGCTCTATTTTTATTGCACTTAAAAAACACTTCAAGCTTATCTACCAATTCGTCGTAATTAATATCATCCATTATTAAAGATCTCAATAAGATTTATTGACAAATTGGGCTTTGTCAAACTAACAATTAAAGGGTATCCAAGCATATATTGCTTTTTGCATGAATACCTTGACAAGTAAAATCCGCCACCGTGCAAAATTTGCAATAAAATTCAAGAATTCAAATTGTTTTCTGAGTGCATTATGTAAAGTAAAATGTAATAAATAGTGGTTTACCGTATTTTTCATGCCAATTATTATTGTTTCGAGCAAAAAAACATTGGTGTTCCATTTGAAAAACTAAATTTGGTAGCATTTCCGGCTACACCGGATGTGCCAAAAAAATTTGATGCATTTACTAAGAAAACTAGGAATGAATAGTATTATTTGAAAATATAGTTTTTGAAAAAAAAAAGAAAGTTTAGATGTTATCTACCAGGGCGACTTGGACCGAACACCCTGTATTATAATTATAAAATAGTTATTTTTATACTAAGTGTGCAAAACGACTGTTTATTAACGCAAAATAACGTAGCATTCGAGTGTTAAAAAGCGGTTTGGCAAAACAATATTTTTTCTACAATATTTCATTCAATTATATAAAATACTTCAAAATTTAATTGCCATATTTGCGTCAGTTTTGGCTAACTTTACGTAGTAATTTCAGTGAAGTGAAGTTGAACTTGACACGTGATTGTAAGAATTTTTCAAACACACGTCTTCTATAATAATTAGAAAAATCAACTTTTGTTCTTTAAAAAAAAGTGTTTTCCAATTTGCTGTAATAAATCACCGCCTGAGAGTTTAATTTACAAGTGTACCGCCGTTCGCTTTGTTTTGCAGTGGCGCGTCTTGGAAGCTCCTTTCGTTATCTGAATCATTAAGTTTGATCAATTCGATTAAATTTGCCTGTAATGTTTTGTTAAGAGCTTGAAATTTAAACATGAATCGATAAGCGTGGTAAATCTTCCGAACGAAAAAGTTCATTCATTAGAATGTCTAAATTTGGCGAATGCGCCGGGCCAAAAGTGGTCATTAATTTCGGAGCAATTCCTCGATTATGTCAATAAATATCAATGATTTGCCTACGGTTGCTGAAAGTTAAATTTCCGGTGAATAGCGAGCAGCGGAAGTCCGCTCTTCGGTCATATTGATCTGGAGAATGGCCGAACGAGCCATGCTGCAACAAAAGCAGTCACGCATCTACCAACGTGGCCGTATCTACTTTATTAGACCCATAAAGAGTCTGCTTTGTCTCTGCAGCGCCGACGGCATTCTAACCTCAAAATTATCAGTTACCTCATCTTTTACGACCCCCCTATTCATATTGACGATCCGTAAAATCAACAAAACAAAGATGAGATTTTTTCCCAATGGACACAACGACCAAATTACGAATTAACAACGGTTTTCAAACCGAAGCCAAACGTAATTACGCATTCTTCACACTATTTGTGTGAAAGTTTTCACTTGAAAAAGCAGCTTTTTGCTGAATCAGTTTATCGATGGACGAAGTGCCAAGATCGTACGAAGCTTCACAAAACGGGGCGAGAACTTTAAGCTTACTCAGCAAAGACAACCTAACATTTTTCGCTAAAGAGTATTTAAAAAAAAAAACTTCATTACATATTTAAGACAACAAAGAAATTACAGAGCATAAGTCACCAAATTGTAGCAAAAAACGGTGAAGGCATAAAGAGAGAATGTTAATGAATGATTACATGGTCGTTAGAAGTGCTATTATTCATTGGGAAGTAACTAACTCAGTTAACAAAGATGCGAGCTGGTTTCGCGTTAATAATTAAATTGTTTGGAACACTGTCGACGACAACGACTAAATCGAAGATTGAATGCGAGAGTTCATCATTGGAGAAAAAAATCGTTATTTCCAAATCAAAGTTGTAAGAAAAGTAATTAATTCAAAAGTAATAAATGGCAAAATCCCAGACGCTTACAAAACGAAGTAGAAAACGAGTATTCATTAACTAGAAGCGGACAGAGGGAAACGGTCGCTTTAGTCATTATTCATAATTATGGGAGATATATTGTTGCTCCATTTCCAAGACGAAGGAGCTGTGCCTCACCCAGCAATCAACCTTACCTCTTAATTTATACATTATTAGCGGACAAGAGCAATGATATATAGAAATCTTTAAGATGCCGTAAGTGAAATATCGCCACGATTCAGAATTATACATCTAATAAATTGCTATACAGCTACCAACTACACTAAAGTTACGTTTGAGTTGTTACTATGAGATAAAGTTATGTTCAACCTGGAGCAGATACATTTTGCGGCCACTATAAATTACGATCTATAGTGTAACTACTCTACTGAGAGTAGTCCATTCATGGAAAAATTGATTGCACTCGGTATGAACTTGGAAATTTACAGCCAGTGAAATACTCGCAGAATAGATATCGTTCAACAATGTATCCACAAAATTTACTCAAGACTTTATGAACAGAAAATTTACAACAGCAAATGGGTCTTGATACAGCTTTGTGCTACAAGCATTACGTGTTTGATATGTATCTTGTAAATGTTATTGTTGTTTACAAACTTTAACACCTCGTTTTCGATAAAAATGTGACTTCCTTTTGGCTCATACAGACATGCCATGTTAGATATGTTATCAAAAATACACGTAGTTTCTCTAGAAACTTTTTTTTAAACACGACACGTCACTATAATTGCCAAAACAATTTCATTTTAGGTTGTTTCTAAAAGCAAACTGTTCGTATATTTTAAAATTTGATTTGGTCTACAAACTCCGAATATTAAATATGACAGCATGGTCACAAAAATACTATAAAATTACAATTCTGGAATGTTCTATTTCAATTTCAACCTGAAACAACAACCAAAGCTTGCAACCACATCACTATTCCGGTGAAATAACAAATCGCAGATACGAGTGGAAAAATTTCCAGAATGATATTTACGTAACGAATTCAAACTAAGACAAAATAAATTAAAAACTGTTGATTCTAGAAAAGTTTTGTGCCCTCTTTTGTGTAACTTCAACTGGATTTTTCATTGAGCAAAAAATACAAATTTGTTATTATTCTCGTTTTAAAAGAAAAGTTGAAATAGCTTTTTGTTGCATTATACTTTGCTAGTTAATTAGCATTTCATATCGGTAAAAAAATTTCAAAGAAAAATCTTGCAGTTATGCACTAAATGGATCATTGCGTGTTTAGCTAGTACATAATTGTAAATCAACCGTGTTTGGAGAATAAACGTCTCATTATTTAAGATTAAAAAAACGTATCTCCAAGTGCAATTAAATTTAATAATGGAGGTATTAGCTTGAATTATTTTAAAAATTATGCTTTGCAACCGAAAGAAAACCGGCAGTCGTTTATAGTCACGAAAAGTTATCTTCCATAAGAATTTAACCGCAAAATTTAACTTGAATCCTTTATTAGACACGCTAATTACCACAGCGTACCTTGCATAGAAAAGATGAAATCTTGCTCCATTGTTTAATAAATCTACCTGTTCAAAGTCACGTAGAGTAAAGCCATCGATGATTTAACATTTTAAATAAAACTGTTTAATACAAGGATGATGGTGCATTTTCGATTCTTTTTAAACATTCTGTCAATGTTATACGATGCGTTTAAAAATAATGGCTCAACAAAGTCGTTGATTTCAATGTAATAAATTTGTCCGACTTCAAGTTACAACCATTTTAAAGCAGATGCAGAGCTTCAGTTTACAATCGATCGGAAAATTTTATTTATTTATTGAGTCATCATTGTAAATCCGCGCACACTTT